AACCCGGGTCGCAGCGGTGAGAGTCCTGCACCCTAACCACTAGACCACCAGAGGCCCCATACAATATTATTCACCTAATTATTCACACACAACTAATAAGAGAAAGCTTTCTTCATTGTTTCTCATGATTATAAAGACTTGTCTTGAACGTCTGTTTGGAATGATCAAGTTTGCTAAATGTAAGACATTTAAACTGAGATAGTGTGAATCTGGGAAACTTACAGCTTCCCTGAGCCATGACCTCTGTATGTTTTCCAGAAGAGCAAAAGGCTGAGGAGACAGAGTGGAAGACGACAAGCAAAGGATTAACCCAAGTTTAGCAGTGTCATTATGACCAGTCATGAGGGCTCAGGAGTTTCTGTTGCCAGAATGGTTTTCTGTGACTGTCCATTGTGCATATAGTCAGTATTGTTACCAGTTTAAAAAAATGGCAGGCAGGAGGTGGAAGTGACAGAACTGGGCTAGGAAATCAGTAGTCATGGACATGTATAGTAACTGCTCAGAAACAGATATGCATTTTTGGCTATCCAGAGGCACCAGTGTCATTTTGTCCCCTGACATATCCATCTCTAGACAGATTTGGGTTACTTGGCCACTCATACCTGAGCATGAAACCTTCAGTGAGCATCCAAGAAGGGTCACAGGCAGAAGGACAGGCTTTTGCAAAGCAGCAGGGAGGAGGGAAATGAGAGTGCAGCACACCATCACCATTGTTCATCTCTCAGTACTTGCAGTGTGCAGATAGGCTCTGCAGTTGGTTGTCCATGGCAGTATCCCTAGCCCTGTTGTAAGGAATGTCACCAGTGGGACACCTGGCAGTGGCTGTGGGGTGAAAGTGGAATCGGCTTCCCTGATGTTCTGCCTCTCAGGGCCCACAGAGCTCTCAGCACACAGGGCATTTACTGCAGCAGGCTCTGGAGAAACACATAACTTGAATTCAAGTTTTGTGTATTGTAAGAAGATTAACTGACTTTGTACTTATGCTCATAAGCCAAGTGCAGCATGCGCAAACACCGTTGTGCTTATGTTGTGTTTATTTATTCTGTTGTATTTACGTTAACGGGATGTCACTGTTTTCTCTAGTCCAAGTGAACAATGCAACACTTCACTCGTGCTGGCGCCTTTCATATTAAAAAGATTTATCATTGTAATACCTAGATCCTGTAGAGAATAGCTTAAGGGCACGCCTCACATAAAGTCCTTGAGAATTCTGAAGCCAACAAGGCAGATTTTTTTAAAAATTCCACCGTTTATGACTGAAGAAGACGAAACCTCCGTGCCCAGGGGAACGCGATCCCTCCGGGGCTGACCTCACGGCGATGTGGGACGCCGGGGGCAGCCACACTCCGCTCTCTCCTGAGAGCTGGAGGGGAGATCACGGAAGCGGCAGGCTCTCCTCCCCCTCCGGCACTCAGACCCCGCAGCGACGGCCAAACCCCGGCGCGCCCAGCGAGCCGCCCTGTCCCGCCTCCGGGAGGGGCTGCGCCCGCACTAAACATGGCGCCGCTAGGGTCTCCTTGGGCTCTGACGTCAGAGCACTGCTGGCCAAGATGACGGCTGTTCTTCTGCGGGCTCCGCGGAGCTTGCCCCTGTCCAACATGGCTGCTGCTGCCCGACTGCTTCCGGCGGCAGCGGCGCTCGTTGGCCCTCAGTAAAGATGGCGGCACGCGAGCAGCGGCGGGGCGAGGTACCCTGGCGGCCGCGGTGAGGGACTGAGGTGAGCGGCCATGCGGCCGGCGGGGCCTGCGTGAGCGGCGCGGCGAGGCGAAGCGAAGGGAGGGCTGCATCTGCCGCCGGGCGGGGGAGAAGGAAGGCTCGTCGCAGCGCGGCCGCTTCTGGGGAGCTGGGCACCTGCTCGGCCGTGAAATGGCGGGTCGGGGCCTGGCCGAGGCCTTTGAGTTCCGCCGAGGTCTGGGCGGGATGTGGGGACGGCGGGGTGCGCCTGCGGGACTCCAGCCCGTTGTGTCCCAGCGCCGTCGGTTCCCTCCTCCGCAAGGAACAGCGTCTGTGGATTATAAAAATTTCCAGCGATATAAATGAATTAGTTGTGAGAGGCTTCTCGAGGTTTTCTTCATTGGAAAAGACGAAATAATCCGAAAGCTTTTTCTTCCCCCTGCAGTAGGACTTGCTAATTCTTTATCCAAAATATAAAGGACTGTTCAAGATTTATAAGACTGTTAAGTATTTGGCATAACCAGAAAACTGAAAATCAGAGGTTAGAGTCCTTTCCAGTTACTGACTCTGTACGTAATTACCTGTGTGTAGGTAATTGTGTATGTACAATATACAAAGCTAGACAAATGTGTATATACATATAACCTGTGTGCATACCTGTGTGTGTAACTTAGGGCACCACAGAGAGGCTGAAGGGGCTGTTCATCAGCTCCTGTTGGCATCCAGCTGTCTGTGTACCAGCAGTATTTAGGAATGTTAACTTGGCATATATGTATGCCATAAGTGTATATGTGTGTCACTTCCATAAGATGGGAATAAACTCTCTTAATTGCTCTCATAAATCTCAGAAGTTGTTTCATGAGTGATGATCTGTCTTGACAGATGCACCCCAGTGGCAAACAGCACCAAGTTTCCACGTACAGGTTGAATAATCAGCTTCATACCTGACTTCTCTTCAGAACTCACATTTTTTGTCTATACTTCTAATCTGGCACTTCACCAGAGGGACTTCTGAGAATTTTTCAGAGGTCATAGGACACTGCTGTCATGTCCTGGGTTCAAGCTGCAGTCAGCCGATCCAATGAGGATATATTTGATGAAGATGCAGATGAGATGTATCTACTACAGAAGGAATGGAACAGCACCATGAAAAAAAGATTGAAGGTATTTCTATAAAAATTATTTAATAGTCTTTTTAGCCATTTTAGATTTACTGAGACATACCTTGATATACATATGGATGATTTAAAGGGAAAGGTAAGAGTGGCTGCTTAAAAGTTATTGTGGCTTAGTTTCTTCTAAATATCAGGAAAATGTAGCAGGAATTTAGGGAAACTCTTCTTAGTAGTCATCACAGCAAAGTACTGTTTTACCAAAAGACATTGGATCCCTGTGCATGAGCACATGCATTTGTAAAAGGCAGTGCTGAATTGTGATGCAAGCTATTTGCTTTGTATGTGTAGGTATACCCCTAGTAAATGTAGGGCCAACACAGCTGAACAGTGCTAATAAAGAAATATGAGATGCTTGGGCATTTAAGTCAGATTGTAAGATGTGAGACTCCACATGCAACCACAATTGGGCATTGTGGTCTGTGTAGTTCTTTGGTTGATTTATTCTAGTGAAAACTGTATTTTATGAAAGTTGCTTTCCACAGCCCTTGCTCCCTGGAGTTCTACAGGCAATAAACCAAGTATATAAACAGGTTAGTTCAACAGATACATTATGATTCAGAGTGGGGTCAGTAGGGCTCATCTGCTCACTCACGAGTGAGCAGCATTTGGCTGAAGAACATGGAAAGAAGCTGTTGTGTAGGCTGTTCATGAAGAAGGTTATTACAGCAGAGCTGGTGTATTACTGTCCAAGGAAGTTTCCTGCATATGAGTCCCTTGAAAAGACTGGCTTTCTTAAGGGGCTGTTTAGTATTCTTACACAAATCCCTCTGATGTCTGTGAGTAGAAACTGTGTTGTGGAAGTTAGAGTATGTTGGGCAAAAACCAAAAAAAACACAAATATTTGTGTTCCTGACTGTTTTTCTTGCAAGGCCACCAGTTTTCTCATGAGCAAATGGGAGTTTTCACTCTTACAACTTGCAATTTTGGTGTGGAAAAAATTAAGAATAATTCTGTGCTATATCTTAATGTGATTAGAATATAAAGAAATTAATTTGCATTACAGTCATTAACTGTTTCTTACAGAAAGCAGTCACAATGTTATGTGTACTTATATGTGACTCAGTCTATGACCATCTTTTTTTCTGGTATAACTATTGAATTGAGTGAGATCTAGCAAATAAAAGAGCAATGCTCAGCAATTAGTTTTGGAAGAACAGGTAGATGGATTACAGACAGGAGAGTACACTGCCAAGTACTACTTGGCAGCCTGTTTATTTTTTAGATAGAAAAAAGAAGTCTAGATGTGGTATTCTTAAATGAATTTTTCGTAAAGAACTTGGTCATCATAAAAGCAATCATGCTTTCTTGCAGATTTGTCTTATTTTTTTTATCTTTCTAAGAATACTTTCCCTATTTTTTGATCTTCTGGGGATACTTTTGAAAAAGAACTGGACCTTACAGTCAGTAAATCATAATGCACTGCAAAAAGCATGTTTTGGTTTGGCAATGGGTGTGTAGCTGTGAGGGATGTTCAAATCTAGAAGCTGTAATTTAAGAGACTGAATACATGTTTAAACTTTTTTTTATTGTTATGCATTTGTCATAGGTCCAATTTGTTATCTTGTGAACAACCTGTTTCACTGCTCTTATTATAGGAAGGCTATAGGGATGGAGTTGAGGCTGGGAAAGAACTCGCACTCCAGAAAGGCTTTAATCAAGGTTACAGACACGGTGCCGAGCTGATGATTACATGTGGCCAGTTCAAAGGAACCCTGAAGTAGGTTACAAACTCCTTAAGGTCAAGTGCATGTGGAGAGTGTGTATGAAGGAACATGCGTGCAACTTTTTGTTTGTTTTAATTTAAAAAAACAAGTGCATTGTAAAACTGCCCAAAGTGAGGAACCTGAGAATTCTCAGGTCTTGAATACAGGGAATTGCCTACCTGGGTGTAGAGTAATCATTCTTGAAAACCTCCTTCAGTTGCTCTTCCAAAATTAACTGAATCTTCATCTTTAAGCTTAATACTTAGTTCTACTGCTTGAATTATCCATAAAATGTGAATGACACGTACACTTATATAGCATTGATATCTTGGCACATTGTTATCTGCCTTCGCCAATTGGAGGTCTGTGTAGATACATATAATCACTTTTGGTTTTGTTCACTTTTCAGTGCTCTCTTATCCTGGTGTCGTTTTAATGGACATGATTCTGCTTTAAGTAAGATAAATAATCTTCTTGATGTGGTTGGAAAGCATGAAGAAGATGTGCTTAAGTATCTGAATTCTACTGAAGAACAGACACATCTTAGACATGTTTTAGACTCTGTTGAGGACATGGACCTTAATCACACAGCTTCAGCTGGGACAGAGCACAAGGAAGTTAAAGATGGAAAACAAGAGGATGGTGGCAGCTCTGGTGAAAACATTTGTAGAAATAATGGTAAGGCTGGTTCCTTGCAGTCTGAGTGCAGCAAGGCAAACCTCCGCACAGATCCTGAAAGGTCAGCGCTTGCTTGGGTTAAAAAGCAGACTGTTTGGCTGGTAGAGCAACTGGGCTTATCATTGGATATACTCCATCATGTCCAGCAATTGAAACATTAGTTTTTCTGTCTCATGGTACTTAAAATTATCTCAACTAGTTTTGCTTCTCACTTTGTGCACCATGTACAGGCCAATGCATCACTTTGTTTTAGGAAAATCTGATCTTGATACTTTACAGTAAAACTAATTTCTGTAAATCTTCACTATGCTTTTAGCTCCTGGCAAAACCCCTCACTTTTAATCTTAAGGTAACATTGACAGAAAGGGGCAATGACACCTAAACCTCTCCAGAGAGTTACTAAACATATTTCTGTTCTGCATCAGAAGCTCTCATTTCACCATCGCCTTCTCTTGGCAGGAATTTGGAAATAAAGCGGGTCCATTAAATAGCCCCTCTAAATTGGTTCCCTCTGCTATCTAAAGAATAAATGCCTAGTGCTATGGACAAGCAACTCTTGCAGAATAAGCTGCTGTTGATGATATGCTAAATATATGCAAAATAGTACAGGATTTGCTGCTGATTCCTAGAGTGCTGTGACTCTCTAGTCATTATATAAAATACAGGAATTTTTCACCTTTTGTCAAATTCTTCCTCTTATCTTTTGTAACCACTATACAGTGCATTTTCACAGTTCAAAAGTATTTTTCCTCCTTGTACAATTCTATTTATTTTGTTTTGCTGAAAATACACTATTTTTATCAAATTCAGAATTACTGACACTTCCACGTTTTACTCTTAGACTCTTACCCTGTCAGACCACTCTAAACATGCTTCCAGTCTAATGAACATCCTTGTGTTATTTTTTGTATTTCTTTTGCCAGTCCCTCAAGCCTGAACTCTTCCCACATTCCTATAATGTTTTTCTCAAACTCTTCAAGGAAGCCAGGCTTATTCACCACCTCTTAGAAACACATCAGCCAACACATGCATATTTCTGACCACTTTGTATGTCTGTGCCAGCATTCTATATTTGACTCATTTTCTTATTGCTTGTCTTAACTGTAGCTGTAAACTGCTCTGTTCAGGAAGTTTTTTCTTGGTGAATGCCTCTCTCTATTTTACACTAATTAAACTGTTTTATAGTAAGTTAAGAGTTTGCTTATTTTAATTTGCTTGTAACCCTCCTTCAGATCTGAGACAAAGCAAGTCTAGACAGAGACAAACTAAAATTTTGAACAGTCAACTTGACTATACTTGCAGAAAAAAAAACAATCCAAAAAAACCCCACAAAACACTTTCATACTTTGAGGCCACAAAAAAACTAAGGCAAAGTTACTTAATTTTCAGAACCTGAGTTTACAGCTTTCTTACTAAAGACATTGTTATCCTGTCACAGAGGTGGTAGAGCATAAGTTTGGTTGCCATTCAGTACTTCTTCTGCTTTAGGGTTAAACAAAACTGCAGTTAAGAGTGTTACTGAACCTGTTTCTGAAATAGTGGACAGATAGGGCTGTCTGCATTAATTATGTCTGTACAAAATTATTCAAGTAACTTTTTCTCCATTTATTTAGCATAATGTTGACATGGATAAACATTACTTTTCTACAAGTGCATGTGTGTGTTATAGACTGTATCATGTATGTTAAACAGATTTCTTCCATATTGTGGTAGAATAAAGGTTACTAGAGTAGTGTTAGACTTTCCAAATTTGAATGTTTAAAAATGCAAATTCAAGGGTATTACTTCTACATATTTAGTAGTTTGCAAAGAGGAAACACCTTTCACAAATTACTAAGTAGACTTTCTTTTTGCTTATCAAACCATAGATTTTATTTGTCTATCATAACAGCTTCTACACTAGCTATGGAATTAATTTTCCTCCACTCTGCACAAAGTTTCTGTTCTCGATGAGAGGTTACTTTTTTCCGTGTTACCACCCAGAGTTTCCAGTTTGGCTGTGGAGAGATTTTCTTCTGTGCTGTCCGTAATACTTGACTTATTTGTCACTACCAAATCATGCTGACCAGCCACAGAAGGGCTTTCTTTGAGACTATCAGAATCTGTAATTTGCGCAGATGGCGGTTCATGTGGTTGTTTTGTGTCTACATCCATATCTTGTGTTTTGCTATCAGCTTTCACCTTGGCAGCATTCCTGAAAATAGCTCTCATGACAACTGGGACTGACATGCAGCTGAAGAAGGAAATGACACATTAGTCACTAATGCAGACTGCATCCATTCTTTAAAGTACTTCTGTTTTTTAAACTGTGGCTGACACCAGAATGATAAACAGCTCTACTTTTTTGCATCTTTTTGCCTCATAAAACCAGGTGTTACACTGTAACCACAATATAAACTACATGTGCTGCACCAGAAACAAATACAGTGCTGGATCTTTGAACTTAGTGGTGCAAATTGAAAGAGTGGGAGGGTTTG